GCCTCTAATTTGAAGTTTACTTAGATGAAATCTCCTTTTTTGTCCAGTTTCATTGAGCCATTGAGATAAGACTCTCATCTGTGAAGAACTACTTTCTACTGATGAGAATAAGATGGGGGAAAAACTAACAATTACTTCTTACATGACAGATTAGATAGATAAGGACAATTTCTGTACAATTAATTCATCCATCAAGTATTTATTTACTGAACGCCTTCTCTGTGTCAGCTACTCAGGATAGAAGTAAGAGTTTGCCAAGTCCTTGTTCTGAGTTTACATTGTACTATAGGTTAATTTCAGTTACAATTTTAATCAGAGTGAAAATGAGGGAGTACAATATATAAAATGAAATAATAAAAAGATACACATATTAAACAACCTAGAGAATTTATTTGGAAAGTAGGAAATAAAAAGTATGATTTTAACATTTATTTAGAATATGAAGAAAACTAGAAAAAGTTAAAACTACAGAAAAGAAGGCAGAAAGTACTGAAGTTGGCCTAATGGCCGGCCAATATAAACAAGCAAAACCTAAGCTTCTTTCATGCAAACAAGGATTAAGGAGAAAAGTACAAGAATGTTTACGGAACAGACCACAACAAATATTTAAAAATTTACATAAGAAAATGTACATAAATGAAAAAATAAATTAGATGATTTACAAGCAATGTTTTATAGGTTACAATAGGCTATAACTTAGTTTATGATGAATAAAATTTATAGCACATCATACATTTTTACATCACAGATTCATTGTTAGAAGAATTCCAACATGACAAAGCTCAGACTTGACAAGAACAATGTGATAGAATAAGGCAACTTAAATTGAAATGGCTTGTGTAAGTAAAATTCAAACATACAAACATCTAGGTAGGATTTGGTCAGTCACTGGACAGAAGACAAGTGCCATTCAACTTCAGTGAAAAAGCTGAAGGTCTCAATGTAGTTCAAATAAAAAGGGAAAGCATACAATGTACAAAAACATGATAAAACTGTCTTAATAGGACTTATATCCTAATGCCATTAATTATATTTGGGACCAAGAGACTAAGATATTGATGTTCGGTATATAAAGTTACCATTTGTTTCTAAATGTTGTAAACTAAAATGGGCCCCGGGGTGGGGGTGGGAGTGGTCAATTTCAAAATGGCTTAATATATGCAGTAGCTACTGACTGTGACAGGTATGACGTCCATGATTTAGAGATACAATGTAAAGCCAAAATCACCTCAAACTATTTGCATTACTTATATATGCTTTACAAATTATGTAAAAGCTGAAATGTTCTTTGAAAGCTATTGAAACTGTAAGTACTGTAACGAATGAAAGATGTTAATAGCAAAAAACAAAACAAAAACAAAACCAGCAGTATATCAGAACTGAAATTTAGTTGCATACTTCATAGAATTCAAAACCTTGAATTTTAACTTCATTCACTTCTTTGAAAAATACATTCCTCATTAGTTCTTTTAAACACAAAATTAGTGGCATTTTTAGCAAAATGACCAAAAATACAAAAGAAAAATAATCTTTCGACTACACAAAGAGCCAGAATGTAAAGCTTTCTAAATTTTTTCAAGGAAAAAAAATTCCCCTCAAACACATCATTCAGCACGAACTCTAGTACTTGAAGTCCCAGATCAACTCACTGCTACATTATTTTTGTCACACACATGTACAATTTTATTATCCTCAGGTAATTCTGAGGATAAGTGTTTTAGGCCTTCATCATATCTCATGTAGATGACTAGAATACAGAACATCTCAACTCACCTGGGGTAATTAAAAGTGTTTCATACATTTTGCTACAAACCGTGTCTGACAAAAGCAGTTAAGTAATTCTTGGAGGGGTTAATCTCACATCTGTTCCTACTCACACTGACCAGAAAGAAGAGTGAGCTTGAAGACAAGGGCCACTAAATAATCCCAAATATATCTAATTTTCATACATTCACAAATTTAGTGGGATGTTCCTTTCTGTACAATGGAAAAGTTCTAGGAATGTCCACATAATTTTAGAGTTAACTCAGTAAAAATGTGATACTTCTACAGATTAAAGCACACACATACACAATTTATAAATATATATAACCTCTCATATTACTTTTAGACAGACCTAGTTGGCCATTACAGGCAATAACATAACATTATGAGAGAATAACTAATACCATTCTATTGGCTTGGTGAGAATCCAGAATCTAGACCTAACACATACAAATCAAATTAACTCCAAAACATGACACCAAATATCTAAACAAATGAGTTTAGTCTTTCCAAATGTTGCCATGAGTGGAGCAGCTAACTGTGTTTCAGGTTGATAACTGAGTTCTTTCCCATTGTAACAAATCAATTTCCTCATTTTACAATGAAAGAAAATAACATTCAAAGAATTTAGAACAGGGGCTGGCACTATTTCTAATATAATAGCAAATCATGATCCCACATCCACTGAATATACAAGAGACAACACAAGCAATAGAGACTGCTTTTAGAAGACACCTGAACTTTTTAGAAGTGGAAATTACTCAGAATTCAGATATATGGTCAAAAAGCTAGGGTGATTTACTTTTCAAGCCACCATTATTTTTATTAGGCTATTAAAAATACCTTAAAGGAAGAAAAAAATTACTTCTTTTGGTCTTTGCTGATTATTACTAGGCTCAGTAGAAAATATAAGACAACTACTTTCTCAAATATTGAAAACAGGCAGTAATACAGATAAAGCACATTATTTTCTGAGGTTATCTGACAGTATAAACAAAGTTGGCTGAATTCCTTCGGTATTAGAATAAAACACACTAAAATAAGCTTACTAAGAAAACAGGACACCAATGATGTTTCCTGTCAAATCATCTTAAATAAGGTCAAAGAGTATTACAAAAGGCAATATATTTCTAATATTTTGCTTATACATACCACAAACCAGTAAGTTAAATGCAAAATAATGTACACTCATTTTTTTCTGGTGATTATCCTTTAACAGTTTTTACATGGCTTTAAATAAGAAAGGATTTCTAAACTACATTCTCAAATGCAATGGACTAAAAAGCATAAAGTGCTCAACAGGAAAAAAAAAAAAAAGATACACCAAATGAAAAATTTTCATATAACAAGCAAAGTGGTTATAAAGGATATCTGGAAACTATTGCCTTGCTAAGCTTTCTACCCAAGAATGCAACCTTAGAAATCAAGGCAAGACTGTTCTCAAAAGGTGAGGGTCCCACTGGACACAGAGGAAAACCTTTCCCCTCAGCTGCATTATTTTTCTTATAGAAACGGACTTTCAGGAACTGGTACTTAGAATACAGTAATCACATTTGCATGCAAAGGTAAAAAACTCAGGAATTTTAAAGAGTCTAGTATTTGGCAAAGAAATCTGGACCTCTTGAAAGACTGTCAATTGTTATGTATGTTACTGGCAATGGCATTTATCTAAACTAAGAGCCCACCTATTTAAATTAGCACAGCTGAACAAGTAATGCCCCTGTTGACAGTCAAGTCTAATACTATGTCTATGGAGAAACTGGTTATAGAACTAAAGGCCATTAGTTCTAAGAGTCTCTAGTTAAAAGGCAATCTTTTTTGGGGGGGTGGGCGGACGGCTGGTGGTGGAAAGTTCTAGACTTTATGTTCTTTACCAAGCCCCCAAACTGACAGTGCTCTGTGCATCTGAACATATTATCAGATTTTAAGAATGAAAATTAAACCCAAAAGTTATAAAGAAGATTCTCTTGTGTATATAGAACACAATGAAGAATTAAAAGGGTCTCTATTTTGTCCTTTAAAGTGGTCTTCTCAAAATTCAAGTACATGAGGTTGGGGGGGAGGGGATTTAAATCATGGAATCCTCAAATTTGCTTCAGTGAAAGAAAGAGACATTTTGGAGATTGTTGAGGCCAGTCAGGATGGGTCTTCAGCAACTTTATCCAGTGTATCACTGGAAAAACGATACACACTGTACGATGAAATGGCAGGATCCAATGTAAGATATTTTTGGAATAGTCAGAAATACAGCTTGTCTTTGTAAAATAAACTAGCCCAAACAAGGTACTTATTAATCTGTATTTTAAAAAAAAAGTTCCCATATTTTTTCCATAAAAAATAACATTTCCCATATCCCCTCTCAAATATTCTTTTAAAAGCCCTTATTCATAAAGTTTTAATGGATACATGATAATGTTCATTTTTAAGAGCTAGTTCTTGAACTGCACTATCTAGTACAGTAGCCACTCACTACTCAAATGTGGCTATTGAGAATCTGGAATGTGGTTAGCCAAAACTGACATGTGACGTTAAGTATAAATACACACTGGTTTTGAAGACAATGTAATAAAAAAAAAAGGATGGTATTGCCTAAATAACATTCCATATTAATTATATGTTGAAATGAAAACATACCCTTAGGCTGGATCAAAAAGAACTATATAATCAAAATGATTTTCACCTGTTTCTTTTTACTTCTTAAATATGCATACCAGAATATATAAAATTACATACACTTTATGTTCTTAAACAGTATAGTCTAATAGAGCTCTGAGGCATTATGCTGTTTGGGCTTAGAACCAAACCGATTTACCACTGAATGCTTACAAAGAATTTCATGAAATTATATTAAAAAATCCCTGAATCTTGGCAGTCTTGTTCACAACTCTGTGTTCTTGCTTATTACTCCAGTAATTCTTGATTATACATGAGAATGGCCAAGAGCAACAGTGGTGAAATGGTTGTTCACTTTATATGTACTTTAGTAGGAAATTTCAGTTTCAAAAGAAACAAAGTATGAACCACAGTCTCAAATTAAACAGAGCATTGATCAAATTAACTTACATGGACCCTGACCATTCCATTTCTTTCTTTTTTTAAAGTTCTTACTTATTTTGAGAGAGATAGTGTGAGCAGTGGAAAGGCAGAGGGAGGGAGAGAGGAAATTCCAAGCAGGCTCCATGTTGTGGGTGCATAGCCTGAAGCAGGGCTCAAAATCACAAACTGTGAGAACATGGCCTGAGCCCAAACCAAGAGCTGAGTACTCAAGAGACTGAGCCAGCAAGGCGCCCCTCCATTTTCTTTCTTAAAGAGAGCCCTAAATCTACAGCTGCTAATGTAGTCTGCCACAAGTTACAACTTGAAATTATCATTTAAAAATAAAAACTTTTTTTTATAAATGTCCAAATCACAAAATTTTAAACTGAACAAGTAGCTTTTTGTAAAGAGAGAGCTAGTCACAACAGTGGAAATAGTCAAGTCAGAGATGTTTAGTCATTGTCAGGTTTCGAAACAGCTTACTGACCAAACATGAATGCCAAGTTCCAAACATTCTAAATTCTAACCCATTACTTTCCATGCTTTTTTCTCTAAATATTCACTCCTATTATTCATATGTTCAAGTCTTTAGATAAATGCAACTGAATTTTAAATATCTGAGCACAAAATTTGAAAAGTATAAGGAGAAATGTCTTTGTCAAGCACCTCTACTGCAAATTGTTCTTTATGGAGCAAAATTATGTTCTATAAAAACATACTAATACTTCTTTCTTCCTGTAATGTAAACAATTTTTAAGTTTTCCCTAGTGCATCCAGATTTACTGGTAATTTAAGGAGGTGAATATTTTCTCCAAGTCTACTTTGTAAACCATTAATTAAGTAATGGTCTTGAATCAACTTCGCTGAACTACGGGACCTCCAAAATGTTGCTGCCAAAGTCAAAATCTAAAAAAAATTCTAACATTATAAAAAATGACTTCAAAATAGAGAACAAATTCCAAGGCAAAAGGACTTACAAAATTTGAAACTATAATGCCTTTATTACTAGAATTTTAAAACACTGATCCTTTTAGAATTCTGTAATACTGCCCCAGACGCCTACAGTTTCAAAACTTGTATTTCAGATTTCAATCACATCTGTGTAGAATAAATGTGATTTTGCTGCTGTTCATAATAGATTAAAGTCTCTAGCTTTGATGGTTAGACCTAATTAAACAGAAATGATTCAGTTTGGGCCCAAGATAACTGTGCTACAGAAAGAGCACAGACCTCTATCAATGCACGCAAAACATATTCTATTAGAAGAGTCCTGGGACCTCATTAAATGGACTTTCAAATAAGTAATTAAGCCTCCAATTAAAAAATAAACAGTTTTTAAACATAATGATTAACTTAAAAAATATAGAAAGTGCAGTATCACCAATCATGTGCATTTTCTAGGGTACATTTTAGAATTCAGGCTAATATTTAACAATAGTATTTTAATTAAATTATAGCATTTGAAAAAGCTTGTCCATCTGGGAAAAGATCACATCAACATGCTTTTTTTGGCTGGGGGAAATGTTGACAAAACTACAATAATGAAAAATTAATATTGCCTTAACATTTCTAAAATCACATCAAAATGATCATCTTTGATAGCCATTTCAAGAAGTTTGATACAGGGTATCAGCTAAGTTACTGTCCACTTACTAGTAACCAAAACACATAGAACGCACTTGTTACAAATATTCAGATTCAATTAGTTTTAGGAGCTAAACATTTCTGAGACTTTAAGATTTGTGTTTGAGCATACAGTACTGAAATGTTGGCTACATAAAATAAATAGAAAATCTTCTCAGAGGAAGCTCAATAATCAGAGGCTGTATTGCATTTAAGGATTTAACACTGGCTATATACAGAAAGGAAAGCATTTCAATTAGAAATACTTCACATATTACCGAGCTCTCTCTTTTAATATGGCAACTTTTAGCAGCTTCCCATTGTGACATTTAAAAATCAACAGCAGTAGCGCTACTCTGCTATCCTTTGGTTCCCAGTAATGATGCCTCTGTTTCAGTTCCTCTTGAATGACATTTATTAGCAGAGAGACACCTGATGCTTTTTAGCTGAAATTTGGCAGCCCAAGAAGTGCACCAACTGCTCCAAAGTATCCCTGTATAATTTAAAAACAATTATTAATGCAGTCTAGCTTTTAAACTAGCATACAATATTAATAGGAACAGATATTTATGCATAATCTTTTAATAATCTCCATTGGGAAATCTACCAATTTCTGTGTTGTCAGTTAATATTTCAAAAATACGAAGTATGTACTTTGAGAGCGAGCGTGCACGGGAAAAGAGCTGAGACAGTCTTAAGCAGCCTCCATGCCCAGCACGTAAACTGATTGGGGCTTGATCTTATGACAGTGAGATCATGACCTGAGCCACAAACAAGAGGCAAATGCTTAAGCAACTGAGCCACCCAGGCACTCCTGAAATACGTACTTTTAAAGTGTGACTCTTAGACACTAAAAAGCTTCTAAGGTTATTGTTGCAATTCTGTACCCTTCTCTCCCCCTTTCCTCAAATACAATTCCTTTAGTTCCACCTGCCACCCTCCCACAGCACATAGCACGGCATGAGGAGCCTGCAGAGCAGTCTACCATTCTGGTCTACATGGTGACAGTGGGGACAATGAGACACAGATGCTTTATAAGGGAATACTCTGAATACGTGTTACTAAAATTAATATGTCCACCTGACCAGAAACAAAGTAATTCAAGGTAAATTTACTCAATCCAAAATATCATATGAACTGATATTTTCAGATTAGAATAAGTGGATGTAGTGAATCTACAGGAAAAATATCTTAAAAGAATAAACGCCAAAATTTTAACAATGGTCGGTCACCTTTGAAGGTGGAGGTGAGGTTGTGATGGAAGGATTAAGAATTTTAAGAATTTTCATTGCTAAATTATATACTTTTGTTTACATTTAATATTTGTTATTTCAAGGGAAGAAAAAAAAGCAAGAGAACAATTTAATGAAATAAATCCACTACGTACACATGCAGTCCCAGTATTTAAGGAGCTCACAAGACCTAATATTGTTCTCTCTTGGTCAGAGGAAAAGGGAAACTCCATCTTAATTGGGTGTCTGCATTAATGGGGCATGAATATGGAGGTTACAGTAACCCATATCCCCCCAGTCAAACTGAAGTATGGGACTCCATATAGTATTTAGGTAAATCACAGTTTTATACTTCTAAGTACACAGCAAGAAGCAATATATAAAACTTGCATATAAAAAAAGCATGCTATTAAAATTGACAAAACATCCTTTTCCTATCATACCTCATGCTCTAGAAACAATGCTTTCAGTTGACCTTTTGACCAGTAATCCAGTGCATACGCCAAAAGTTTCATTGAGAGAGTATTGACACGTAAAAAGTTTCCGACAAAGACAACTCTGTTTATTTTCTAAAAGAAAAGAACAAAGAAAATGACCTGAAATAAGAATTATCAAGTAGATTTTATAATACAGTAGGGTTTAGAAAAATCTCTACTTAAAAATATAAATAGCCACTACTTTTCTTAAGTGTCTATTACATTCCTGGTACATATGCCTCCATAATCCTGAATATTTAAAATTTGGTTCAGAATATATCACTACACATTTGACACAACCTATAGAATATACATCAACAGTGAGCCAAAACGTAAACTATGGGTTTTGTGTGATACAGATGTGTCACTGCAAGTTCAGTGATTATGACAAATGTACCAATCTGGTGTTGGATATGGACAGTGGGGAAGGCCATGCAGCTGTGGGGTTTAAAAGTATATATGGGAACTCTCCATATTTTTCACTCCATTTTTCTGTGAACCTAAAACTTGTCTATGTTTTAAATATAGTCTATTAAAAAAAAGTTCTGGAAAGAGCCTAGTAAATGATTTTAGATGATAACTGGTTTTTGAAAATGGCCAATAAATAATCTATTAAGGAAGTAATCTAGAGAAATATTATTGAGATTAAAGGAGAGAAACCAAGAAACAGTATTTTAACTGTGTTTAAAAAACAATGTAAACTTGAAGCTTCCAGCATCTCTGGCCCCAGCTAACCCATCAAGTCACTCCCTGCTAAGATGTCACTCACTAAAAATTTAGTTCCCTAGATACCTTGAAGGAAATCTTAGATGGAGGAACTAGTGTTTCAATCTCCAAAATGCTTTTCTACTCTCACAATAACATACTTTTGAGTATACATGTTTGCACACTGAGTTTGAATAGTGTAAGCTATGGCCTCAATCACTATTAGGTCAAGTGGTCCCAGATTGTCAGCCCCCAAAAGTGAAATATTCCCAAACCTAGGTTTAAACACCTGAGGGTGGCTCCCCCTACCAACTTACTCAACTGTTACTGAGACACTTAGAACCGGATTTTAACATAGAATAACACGCATGATTACCTTATCTCCTTTAAATATTTACCCAAGGGTCACATTTTCAATAAAGCCTTCCTTTAACAACCAAACTACTCAGCAATCTGTCTTCTGCCATTCTCTTTATCTTGTTTGGTTTTCTTTTTTAAAAAGTAGCATTTATCACCTAATACATACTAAAAAATTTACTCTATCCCTAGAATAGATGGAAGCTCCACAAAGCCAGGGGCCTTTGTTTTTTTTCACTAATATATCCCAAGTGCCTAGAAAAATGCCAGGTAAAAGGTACTCCAGATACCCACTCAATGAATAAATGAATGAACAAATGAAGGGTTCCCTCAAAAAGCAAAATTTCCAATTCATTTAAAGTATTTGCTACTTACAAAAATTAAATGGGCAAATACATCTATCACAGGATGACAGAACTGTGTATCTACTCTCCTTCAAATAAAGATAACCCAACGAGGCAAATCTATGAGTTAATGCTTTTCATTAAGTATGTATCATTCAAATTGCATGTGAAGAACAAGTCTCAATGCCTTCATAGCCCTGTACAATGCTGCTTGATCCATATGCAACAAGGCAGCACTGTAAAGAAGCCAAAGGCAGTAAGAAAACTTCCAAGCACTTTGCTAATATGCAACATTAACAGTAAAAACAAAATACAAAAAAAAAACAACAAAAACCCCCAAAACGCTCTTTCAGTAGTTACCTCAAAAAATGTCCTATGTTTGAAAAGAATTTTCTATGTTCAAGAGATTTAGGTTGTATATTTCTGGAAAAGCTTCCAGATAAATTTGAAATGTAAATGTCTATTTGTCCTATTTCCAATTTGAATTATCTGCTACTTTCTTTAAAAGCAACATAATTGGGTACACATGACATATTTAGCTAATGAGCCTTGGGATTAAACAGAGATGAGTAATCTCAATCATAGAGACCTTGTTAAGGAACATAAAAAAGTCATGCTATACATACATAAAATTCCAATTCACATTTTTCTTACAGTTAAGTTTTTTTTACCTCATTAACAGCACACATTCGTGCCACAGAACCAATGTTATTGGTGATAGTAACTAAAGTAGCTCTTGCTAGATCTTCTTTACTAACAGATTCTCGCTTCTCCTTATAAATCATATTCCCAAAACTGCAAAGAAATGAAAAACAAACAAAATCAATTCTGATAATAAGCAACATTTTTGGGAATTTATCCTACAGATAAACGTGATATGTACAAAATAATGTGTGTTAATAAGGTTACTGACTGACCCATTGAACTATACATAGCAAATACTGGAAACCACCAAAACATTCAACAAACTTTGATAAATCCACACAATAAAAATACCAAGAAGCTGTTAATAAGGGAGGGAGGGAAGGAGAGGAAAAGGAAGAGAAAGGGGAGAAAAGAAGGCAAGAGAGAAATGAAGGGAGGGAAGCCAGTAGATAGACTAGGATATATTGCCTGAACAGTATATACAGTATGCTGTATAATAGCATAGAAATATTACCTTCTGAAAGTTAACCTCTGTAAAAGGGGAGGATAAAGATATGTCTTTACATTTGCATAAAAAAACCTGAAAGGATGCACAAGAATAAAAATGGTTTCTTATAGAGTATAGCTGAGACTTCTTAATGCATATCTAATTTTTAAACTACATGAGTGTTCAAAACTTGGAACGTAAAGTGGTTAAGAGTAAGCCTTTACAATTTCCTAATATATTGCTTTCTAAAAACTAAATGAGAACCTTTAATTACAACATAAATATTAAACTTACCTAGATGCTACAGCCCAACCTGGGAGACAAAATCTTTCATAATCTCCTCCATAAATATCACGGACCAGCTTGTCAGCTTGGGTGCTGTCACCTTTGGACGCCATTTCAAGAGCCTCTTCAAAACTTTCACAGCCAGTCAACAGACAGCATAAACCCAGAAAGGTACCCCCTCCAAGGCTAAAGAAAACAAAGAAATCTGGGTAAGTTACATTTACATACTGTATTCTTTCTCCAGAGTAAAAAGGCGGAGTATTCATATATTCTATAAATGCAAAGAATATATTGCTAGTGCCAAGTGCTGAAGTATCAACATAATGAAGGTAAGAAAAATGCCTAGCAAATCCAAATTTGTCAGATGAAATAAACCAAAGGGGAAAATAATCATTTGGTAGAAGCATCATGAGGATAGAAGAGATGTTTTATATTTTCTATTATCTTTACCAATTCTTTACACTTTGTAATTACTGAAAATAAATGCTTTTATGTGAGTGAAAAAGCAGTTTAAGTGTTAAAAATTACTATATGAATTAAAAGGAGAAAATTTGTAACTCTACATGGTTACCAGATAATGATTAAGTGAAAGGTCTATTTACTTGGTCTGACAAGGCTGAAATCAATTCAATATGATACATAAGCATTTAATGTGACCCAGAAATGACCATCGTGAGAAAATTTTTCTCAGGCTGGTCAATATGTTAATGCCAGAAATTTACTTGGTTCTATTACTCTTTTGGATATGCTCATAAAATGAAATGTCTCTCTAGCTCCTAAAATTAAAACCTTTGCTCCTCAGATTCACCTCAATTTCTAACAGACTCTATACTTTTTTAAATTTTTATTTTTTATGTCTTTATTTTATTTTTTGAGAGAGAGACAGAGTGTGAGCGGGGGAGGTGCAGAGAGAGAGGGAGACACAGAATCTGAAGCAGGCTCCAGGCTCTGAGCTGTCAGCACAGAGCCCGATGCGGGGCTCAAACCCATAAACTGTGAGATCATGACCTGAGCCAAAGTCAGATGCTTAACCGACTGAGACACCCAGGCGTCCCTAACAGACTCTACCTTTGATCACTGCTAGAATTTAGTTAACCAGTCTTAATTTTTTAGAACTGACTGCAGTAGGTAATACTTTCCTATAATTTTCTGGCATAGAGCATCACAATGGAGGTAGATTTTTAGCCACTACAGTACTAATTAAGTTTAAGTATCACTTAGGGGCACCTGGCTGGCTCAGTCAGTAGAACATGCAACCCTTGATCTCCAGGTTCTCTGAGTCTGAGCTCCGTAATGGAGGTAGTTTACTTAAAACAAAAAAAAATTTAAGTATCACTTTAACAACAGCACTACTTTAAAATGCAAATGAGATTTTTTCATACACCCCAAAATCTTTCTTTCTCAAATAAACAGGAGTCTCTATCCTCCTTAAAAGCTGATAAGTATATATCAGAATCATAAGGACAATTTAAAAATTTCATTTCACAATACTTCAGGCATTATAGAAAACACTATGGGATATTTGGAACATTAATGTTATCCCATAAAGAGCTCATGTTAAATTCATCCTATAAGAATTATCAAAATGTTGCCTAATACAACACTTAAATATGAATCTTTAATCCAATCAGCATGCAGGCTGACCAGTGCCAAGCTTTAGGCTTACATATATCTATAAAATAGTGAAAGACATAGAAGAATGCTTTGGAAAATAAAAAAGTCACTGAAATCATTCCATATAAATATTCTCTCTTACAATTGTGGAAAGTTTGGTGCCAACTGATGCTAAGCAAATATAAATAATGATTTCACTTTGGGTCTTTATAAACATACCTTACAAAACAACATTATCTGCAACACTTTAACTTGTACTTACATATCTACCTTTTTTGGCTACTGCACAAATACATGTTAGAGGCTAACATTAATGAGTTCACAACTTCTGTATATAAAACAACATGAACACTGCAATAACAATAAAAAGGTTACTACCTTGTCCCAGTTACTCGTTTGTAGTTGTCTTTGGAATGGACTGCTAAAATACTGACTCCTGAACCAATGTTCACTATCAGCAGTGGATAGGGATCATCCAGGTTAAAAGGCATCTTTTGGCATCGCTCAGGTTCTGAGGCATTAGCAAAATAATAGCACTCTGCTTGTCCATTGAAACTGACAGAATCTATATACAGCAAGCCCCTTACAAGGCAGTCAAGTTCATCCAGTTTGTGCAGGTGGAGGTTTCCAATCTGTAAAACAAAGAAATACAAACAAAAAAAACCCCACCAAAACACCAAAAAAGTTGTACAAAGTGAACAAGGGACAGTATTAAAATATTTGACTCAACTGCACTGTATAATTTTCACATACTTCATAAAACCTCAAAATCACCTATACATTTTCACTTGTTTTGTATCAAAATCTCTAAGTCTTATGATTCTCAGTGATGGTGGTATTACCTCTGGAGGTATTCTGGAAATTGGTGGGGATATTTCAGTTTTCACAAAAAGAAAAGGACTAAACTAATGTTTAGTAGGCAGGGACTTGGGATGTCAGACATCTCCAATGGGTGGGGCAGTTGTGCAAAACAAAGAAGTATCCCATTCCTAATCTATCTTTCAGTGTCCTGACAGACATTTTTGTGGGTAGCAGTAGGAAAATTTGTTTATAGTTAACCATGCCTATGTAAACAAAGAATTCTTTACACTGTTTTAATATATGTACACTAAATTTGCTAGGAATGCAACCACCATATAAACTGAGGAAATACTGGACTTCCTTATCAATGTTAGCATTTGTGGCTTTAGAATTTATGGTGAATTTATGTGTAAAAGTGTCAGTATCTAACTATTTCATTATGCCCCTCTTCTGTGATCCTACTAGAGAAATCTACCAATATACAAATACCTTCAATTCCTGTCTCTATATTATACTTTGGGTACTAGTTTGAAATTATTAAATTCATTTCAGATTCATAAAGAATGTATTATAAAGTAATAGTAATAAAATCTCAGCTTAGAGATCACCTCCACTGGGAAGCTTTCATTCTCCAGAACTTGCTAGGTACCACACTACTCTGGTCTTCCCATGGCACTGCTTTTCATAGTAACAATATTAATGATCAGACATGGTACTTTTATTTTTAACTCATTTGTGTGGTCTAACTCATTTGTGCTCTACTATACTCTTTCTTTAGGGGCTAAGACTGTCTTATTCCCAGCTGAGCTGTGTCTAGCATAATACTTGACATATACTACATGCTCAATTATTAGCTTAATGAATGAATGATCGTCAACAAAAACAGTTATTACATAACTTCATCATTAGAAAATATTGATAGTGGCCAGGTGAAGTGAAAGCTGGCATCAAGGACACTGCTTTTGGTAAGAATACTAAACACTAAAAATATCTCATGTCCAAGTGGACTGGTCTCAAATTTATGTTCAAATTACTCAATAAACTGAATACAAAATAGCATTATCCATCAAGAGAGTAACAATTTAGACTTTTAAACTATCCTAAAGTTTAAGAGGCTCACTTATGTGAGCCATGTAAGTGATCACTTATGTTCTATTAACAGATTTTTCTTATATAAATTTAATTAAATGGTCCACTTGCATATTTTCAAGGAAAACAAATTTCAGTAGCCCCAAATGTCAACTTTCTAATCTTTACTCTAATGGAAAGAACTAGAAGCTTGGCAAACTCCCACTAGCACATAAATCAATGCTTATGTTATGTGCTTACATTATCAAATGCTTACATTTGCCATATCCAAATGACGCCCTTTGAGACAAGAACATGGTAAGGCTGACAGATAAAATCATGAAAAGGAGGTAACAGGGACTTTCATTCAGATGTCTACTAATCAAAAGACACTGGCTTCAGCTGTTTTTCTTTGGGGAGATGGCCCTAGGAGAGAGGACTATATGGATAATATACAAAGAGCAATGCAAACACAGGACAGTAATAGTGAAAACAATCCAAAACTCACTTATATCTGGTTTTACACTACCAAATTCACTAAAATTTCTTTTTACTGTATCTTTATAGCAGTCCCTAAACCTAGCAGGCTTTACCCAATAAACCCAAATCTGGGGTGATTTTTTACTCAGCCTATAAAGATGTTTAAGTCCTCAAATGAGGGGCACCTAGGCTGCTCAGTAGGTTAAATGCCTGACTCTTGATTTTGGCTCAGGTCATGATCTCAAGGTTATGAGATGGAGCCCCATGTCAGGCTCTATGCTGAGAATGGAGCCTGCTTGAGATTCTCTCTCTCTCTCTCTCTCTCTCTGCCCCTCTCCAACCCCCTCCTAAAAAACACACCCCAAATGATAAAATTATCATGAATATATACTTCCTCTGTATCCAAGCAGGGGGAACTAATCTAAGAAACATGTTAGAAGGAAAGCTAGCCTCATGTTTTAAAAATTAAAGAGAATGGGTATCAATTTTTGGCTTTGAGTAAGACACCTACTGTGCGGAAATCTTCTTCAAACTTGTAAGCACCACCTCCTGTAGCACATAGCACCGTGTGTAATGTTGAGAAATTTTTATCTCTTCCCATTTGGATAAAAGTAGGCAGGTCATGGGTTGGAAATCTGATAAAGTGCAAGTTCCCTCTTCGGCCAAAAAGTGTTAAATCCTTCAGTTCAAGGTGTACATCCCGAATACCAGTGGATCCATATGCTACATTAGAAGTCAAATATTTCCGGATACTTTTTAAACTCTCAACTTCTTCCTGTTCTTCCTCTGCTGTGATATCAATAGGTTCAAAATAGGAGAGCTTTACTAGAGTCCCCCCAATGTCCATGCCAAACCATGGGAAAGCTGTGGATGAAAAAAAATAATTTTAACTATCTACATTGGCTTTAGAAACACAAATTAGTTAGAAACTAGTTAATTAGCCACAAATTTCATTTGCCCTGAATCATGCAGTCAGTTTTTTGGGGGTAAGATGCATCTTCTATGTACAACTCAACTTTTCCCCTCCAAAGTATTACTTTGTATATGTTCTAAAAATTTGTAACATAGGATGCTTAGAGCTGGCCAAAGGTCATTTGGTTTCTGGTCAGGTAGGCATTCTTTTTCATTTATTAAATACTTATCATATGCCCCAGGGTATAAGGAAAAATTTGGACCAATTGTTTTTAATAAATAGGTCATAATCTATGGCTTAGATAATGTTTCTAGTAAGATTTTAACATAGTAAAATTGGCCTATAATTACTTCAAGTAACCCAAGGTAAAAGTACCTCCTTAAAAAGAAATCTTAGTACTTCCTCATTAAGCATTAGGTTTCTTTGGTACATTTGGTTAATTAAATTAGCTGTTAATAATGTTGAAGGTTAAGTCCTCCTAGGGCATATTTGAGCAGGCAGTTGTATCATTTGGGTAGGTAAGTCGGGACTTGGTGCTCTTTCGCTAATTGAACTATAGGACTTTAAAAAAGCCATTAACTTCTCTGAATCCTAGTTTCTTTAAGGTCCATTTCTATTTTCTGGAATCTTAAACAAGATGATACTCAAAAATAATTTAATACTTATGAATTATAAATTATAAAATGCCTCAGAACAAAATGTATTTAGCAGTATAAGTTGTCAAAGAAAACTAATTCCCTCTAAAATTTGTTTCTTAAATATTAATGTTTGTTATGTGTAATTATTAGAAACCAGGAACATACAATTCAACAAGATAGGATTCTATACATTTCTCCATTACAGAATTTACATTTACTGAAACTAATAATATTAAACATAAGAGTAATTCTCATCTTTTTCTGGAGAAAGAGCTTACTTTTCTTTCTTTTTTTTTCCAGCTCACTTGTTTTTGTATTTGAAACCCAAGTTGCAGATATAGGTCTACATTAAAGACAATCTTAAAATAGAAACTTCTTTTAAAAAGAAATTAGTAAAATGATGTAAGACCATAATCTGGGTGGCAGTAAGACCCCCCAAACAGGGATTTTGCTTTTATGCCACCTGTAGATTTTTATAAACAAAGATGTAAAAGAAACTAAATTTTCTCAATTTTTAAATCCCTGCTCTCAAGTAGCAATACTAACAGTTAGTTACAAAGGGGATATTCCAAGGAACTGTTTGCCTTAAAAGAAAAACCAATACAGAGTAGCTCTACTGATCCAATATATCAGAGATATATTTTCCCAAACTGTTGAACAGATATGCATTTAGGACACTTTTCTTTTTTTTTTTTACAAATAGTTTATTGTCAAATTAGTTTCCACATAACACTCAGTGCTCATCCCCAAAGTGCCCTCCTCCATGCCCATCCCCCCCTCCCCCCCACATCCATCAGTCCTCAGTTTTTGTCAGCATTCAAGAGTCTCTCATGGTTTGCCTCTCTCCCTTTCCCCCACCATTTCCGCCCTTCTTCTCCCCCTTGTTCCTCCGTCAAGTTCCTCCTAATCCTCCTATACGTGCAAACATATGATATTTGTCCTTCTCTGCCTGACTTATTTCGCTCAGCATAACACCCTCAAGGTCCATCCATGTTGCTACACATGGCCAGATTTCATTGTTTCTCATTGCCATGTAGTATTCCATGGTATAGATAAACCACATCTTCTTGATCCATTCATCTGTTGATGGACACTTAGGCTCTTTCCATGTTTTAGCTATTGTGGAGAGTGCTGCTATGAACATTGGGGTACATGTGCTCCTATGCCTCAGCATTTCTGTATCCCTTGGGTAAATTCCTAGCAGTGCTATTGCTGGGTCATAGGGGAGTTCTATTGTTAGTTTCCTGAGGAACCTCCACACTGTTTTCCAGAGGGGCTGTACCAGTTTACATTCCCACCAACAGTGTAGGAGGGTGCCCGTTTCTCCACATCCTCGCCAGCATCTAGAGTTCTCTGATTTGCTCATTTTAGCCACTCTGACTGGTGTGAGGTGGTATCTCAGTGTGGTTTTGATTTGTATTTCCCTGATTAGGAGGGATGCTGAGCATCGTTTCATGTGTCTGTTGGCCATCTGGATGTTTAGGACACTTTTCAATGGATGGTAGATAAAACATAAAAATAACAGGGCGCCTGGGTGGCTCAGCCGGTTGGGTATCCGACTTCAGCTCAGGTCATGATCTCACAGTTTGTGGGTTTAAGCCCCGCATCGGGCTCTGTGCTGACACAGTTTACAAACAGGCCAATCCAACTGCACTTATATGCCATATACTTCTCTCTGGTTTTGACAAATGCTTCAGGTTGGGTTAGCAGAGATTCAAAAACCTTTATCTCACCAAATTAAAATAAAATGTATCTTTTACTATCACCTTGTTAATCAGGCTACATGCCACAAAGGTAAGCAACACAAGGACTGAACAGACCTTAAGAGATCATGTCAGTCCAGGTAGAGAGGAACCCACGATTGTTTGGCTTTTTAATATCTAATATTTAAGCAGTGTGAAAAATGCAAGTAAAGGCAAAGCAAACAAACATTGCCGTTTTTCAGGTTTTCACAGAAAACTAGAAAAAGTTTTACTAGAAAAATTTTTCATGAGAATAATTTTTGACTTCATCCTTCCCTTGGAGTTTCATTAACACATATTTCAAACACTAACCTTTTACTTACACAATCTAGAGGATGAAACGTATTCCTTTTCTTATTTTCTGGTTAAATACACACATTTGCTTTATAACCTTGTAATATATAGTGATGTATCTAAAAGCAGTATTTTCTAACCCTAAGGTGAATGTAAGAGCTTGAAGCTAAAGCCGCTGGTTTAATGCTGCAATGCTTGTAAAGATAGTGCTTCTGCACATAGGAATTGCTCACTAAATTTGTAATTCTAAAAAAAAAAAAAAACCTATACAAGTACTCTAAAACAACACAAATCACAAATACATCTTCTGCTAATCTGAGTGGTTTAAAACATTAGAAATAACACTTTGCAGTTATATATATTTATAGTTCATAATTGAAATACTTTCCCTCACACAGGAAAACAAGATGTTCTTTACTTTCCCTGTGAAGAACTGAGGAAACAGTAAAGTCACCTTTTACATATAAGAAAAAAGGGAAAGTGTTTCCTTAGACCTCTAAATCCTATTAACTGACTAGTGTCTGAGCGTGACTCTTTCAGCATTAACAGTCTCTTACGTAGGAATAAGCAACTGCTAAAAAAAAAATAGGTGCTCCTTTCTCAACTTAAAGTTTCTTTTATAAACCTTTAATTATTATCTTTGCTGAAGCAAAGGTGGCATTCATACCTGATTACAAGTGTGCCCAAATCTAACAAATCGAATCACTACCATGGCAACAAGAAAACACGCTAAGAGAATAGGAGCTTGTCAAAGTTCAACTCATTTTACTAAATGGAAATTCTAAGACAAGCAGGGAAAACGTATGTGTTAAAGGAACACATCCTCCAAGTGTTTGCTGTTACTGCATCTGTACAAGATTAGTTTAACTCGGCAAATGTAAAGGAAATTAAAACTGGTTCTATATTAACTGTCACTTAAAACCTTCCCATCACTATTTGACAGACTCCTTGAATAAGAACTCTAACGTTCACAAGAGATCATCATTAAAAAATATATTTTCTTCAGCAGGCAGATAAAAAAAATCACCAGTTTGGGAAGATTTGTGTTTAAGTATCTAGACTAAACTATGCCCTGTGGGTGCAGAAAAAAAACACCGGACGAGGAGTTCACTCCAGGCGCTGAACCTCATTAGCACGGTTGGTTGGTATAGCCTTGGAAAAGTTACTCTAAATAAATAAATTCCATTTCCTCATCAGTAGAATTAAGCACGGAGTATCTCATATTTAAATAACAATCAGTAGGGGCGCCTGGGTGGCTTAGTCGGTTAAGAGTCCGACTTTCGCTTAGGTCATGATCTCGCGGTTCGTGGGTTCGGGCCCCGCGTCGGGCTCTGTGCTGACTGCCAGCTCAGAGCCTGGAGCCTGTTTCAGTCTGTGACTCCCTCTCTCTCTGACCCTCCCCTGCTCACGCTGTCTCTCTCTCTCTCCTAGAAATAAATAAAAAACATTAAAAAAAAATTTTAAATAACAATCAGTAGTTTTCAGAGTGCTCCCCTATGCTGCCTCTCCCCTGAGGTAACAAGAGCCCTGATGGGCCAGAAGGGAAGGTGTCCGTGCTCCCTCCGTTTTATCACCCGAGACCCTAAAAACTGTAAAATATACAATCCTAAGATATAAGCATATGCATCCCGCATTCCTAGTTGCACTGGGGGAATGGCCTTAGAAAGTATGAAATCCCAATGAGTGATTAAATATGCTATTTACAGGGGTCAAAGTTTTTAAAAGGCTAAAAATCAAAGAAAGCAAATGAAAGTTGATCTGCTCTTTTAAAACATGGGAAAGAAATGCTTTATTAAAAAGTTCGTATATATACATATTGGCCGTAGACAATCCCTGAGTATTGACCAAAATTTAATAATGGTTAGCCTTGAGTGGAGGGAATACCTGTGATTTTCATTTTTTTATGTATCTTTTTCCAAGCAAACACTCTCTAGTTGTTTAGTCTAAACAAAAACAAGCCAAGGCAATTAGCCACTGGTAGATTACAGGCGTGTTTTTCTAAAAAGGCTCTAATTGCAACAGCAGTTGACAACTCCCAGAAACACCAGGATTTCAAGGACACATGGCAGGAAGCTCAGAAATCAGTAAGAAAAAAAAAAAAAAGGGAGGTGGGGGAGGCTCGGGGGTAAATGCCCCGACACAAATGACAACCATTTTCAACCTGACTTCAGAGCTAGCTGGGGAAGCGGACTAGTATCTGCCGTCTGTTCTGGCAAAACCCGAATCAAAAATTCCCCCAAGCGCCTCCCAGATCTCGAGAAGGAAGTGGGAGGAAAGGGCCAGGAGGCGGCAGGCGTTCGTCACGCGCGCACAGGAGAACGAACAGGGGGCCTCGACCCCGAGGCTGAAATGGTCCTTCCGCCCCCATCCCGCGCTGGGCGCCTGCGAGGGGCGACGGGCCGGCCACGACGCCGCTCCGCTAAGGCGCTTCGCATGGGGCCCAAAGTGCTCTCCCAACCCGGCGGGCCCAAGCCCCCATATCTTACAGGGTTTCTTGGCATCCTTGATCTTCATGGCGTTTGCCTAAGACACCAAGGGCAGCCTCGGGACCGGAGCACGGAGGGTAGTGGGGTAGCGGCGGCGACTCCAGCGGTGTCTGGGCCGCGCGGGAAGGCCCGGCGGGTTCCTCCCCTCAGGCCTGGCGGGGCGGGCCTGGGGCGGGGCGGCGGCGCCTGAGGCGAGGCCCGGCCCAGGGGGCGGCTTCCCCACCCCCTCGAGGGTGTGCCGGGACCGGGCGAGCTGGGGAAGGCCTCCGGCCTCGCCGCTCCGGGGCCCCCCCGCAGCCGCTCCAAACAAAAGGCCCCGGTCCCCCGAGCCGCCGCCGCCGCCGCCGCACTGAGAAATAGCCCGCCCAGGCCGAGCGCCCACGTGACGCCGGCCCCGCCTTTCTCTGCCGGCTGCTGGGGATGGTAGTTCTCCGGGTCGCGATGGCCCGGTCTCTGGATGCAGCTTTCCAGTCAGACTACAAAGCCCAGGCTGCATCGCAGTCCCCCCTCTGAGGCCCCTCCGTTTCCGGAGGTCGCCTCAGCGTGGTCCCAGAGATAGAGGGGCGGGGCTTCAATCACGCCAGCGACGACGCGACCAATGGTGGCTGAGTTGGGCGGGCTGCGGAAGTCTGGGGCTCGGGCTTCACCCCGCGGCTGGAAGAGAGGGGAAGGGTACTGTGTCTGTGCAGGTACTGTCTTGGCTGTTCTAGAAGTCGCAGCCTTCCCCTGGAGGTAGAAAACCTGGTCATTGTGCCATGGGAAACGCTCAACACAGGGCTGTAGAGCCGCTGTTTAGGCAGACCGTTGAATGCATTTGTAAATTAAAGTCGTTCACAACGAGACCCTCTGGGGTCTCGTTCATAGAGACGCCTCAAATGTTGTGGGAGTTGGAATAATAATAGCAATAAAAATAATAACTAACATTTATGGAATGCTTGCCATGTCCTTGGCACTCTGCTAAGCACTTTTTGTGGAATTACTTAGTTGAATTGAGCAACCTTGTAAACTACCTACGATTATTTTTATTATCTATCGCTCATTTTGAAGATGGGGTGGGATCTGAGAAGTCAAGTTGGAGAACACGTGCTCTTTGCCACAGTTCCCGGTCCCTTCAGGGGCCCTGCAGTCCAGCTTCCTCCTTCCAGAGGGGAAAATTTCCTGAGAAGATCGTTAGATTTTCCAGTTCTCACAGCAAAGCCAGAGACCCCTTTCCCTATGCACCCTAGGTTCTGAGACTTCTAGCTGGAACAGGAAGGGATGGCATTGAGCATCTTTTCCTGCCCTCCCCTGCGCCTCTGTCCCCCAGCAAGCTGACCAGGAATTCAGTGACTTTGGCAACAGGTGGTCTGAGAGTTGGCAATGGATGGTTGAACTTTATTACCCCTTTCTTACGGAGGATGAGACAAGGATTGTGAATATGGACAGGAAGGGGCACAGATGACCAGGGAGCTCTCTACTGAGAGCTGGCACTTAGCAAGGTGTTTTCCTTTTAAAATTTTAATTTAGGGTTGCCTGGGTGTCTGAGTCAGTTGAGCATCCCACTCTTGATTTCAGCTCAGGCCATGTTCCCCAGGTCTTGGAATGAGGCCCTCTTGGGGCTTTGTTATGGAGCCTGCTTAAGATTCTCTCTCTCTCTCTCTCTCTCTCTCTCTCTCTCTCTCTCTCCCCCTCTCTCTCCCCCCACCCCCTCCCCTCCCCCTTGCTTGTGCCTGTTCTTTCTCTCTCAAAAATTAAGTAATTAATTAAAATTTAAATTTAATCCTCACAACCACCCTTTGAAATATAATGATTAAGAACTGTAGACTTGAATTTATATCTTGGTCCTATAACTTGGCAATAAATTTGGGCATATTACTTCATCTCTCTGATTCTCATTGGAAATGATGATGTCTATGTTTCTTGGGGTTGGGATGAGGATTAGGTGAAAGAAGGGATATAAAATAGTTAACTCACTGCTTGTCGTATGAGTAGTGATCTGTAAGTGATGACTATGTCTGTTATTGCTGTTGTTATCCTTATAGTAAAGATGAAGAAAGGTTATCTACACTGTTTGCCTAAGGTAATTATTTGGGATTGGACCTCAAGTTTAATTGGTACTTTGTGGTTCCTTATTTTTGTTATTTTGACCCCAGGTTTCACATTTGTTGTTTAGAAATATATTTCTATTTTTTATAGAAACATTTTTCTGAGCTCCCTGATGTGTGACCTGATTATTCTGAACCATGAATGGTAGACTTAACCTTCTTTTCCTCTTTTAGTCCCTCTTGTCATTTCACCCCATATAGAACTGTAGCTATTCTTAAATGGTCATGTTTGCCCACAGTTTTACTGGGTGAGAATCATGATTTCTGATCAGACATGACTTCAAAGAGTGTTCAGTATCTAATATGATTCACTTGCTGGTTTTGTAAAAATGTACATACCCTGTTCTCTACCAGAATATATCTTTTGATTATTTCCTGCTTCTTTTTGACAGCATCAGCTTGGAAGTCAAAAGGGAAGTGATATGTGTGTCTTGTGATAGGCTGGCCATGGACCAAGAGGAAGGAGAGCTAAAATGAGAAGCCATAAGAATTTCGGTGAGTTTTGGACACAAGCTCTTGTTAGTTTCCGTGACCACAGAGACGAGTATACATGTGGATGACTAGTTCAATTTAGCTTAAAAGTTAGGCTTACATGGTGATGCTATGTCCCAGAAAACCACTGAACTTTGAATAGTGAGAATTCTTGTCCATGGAATTTCTGTGTGGTCCTGGGAAAGTCCTTTCTCCTTTCTCAGTTTCAGATTACACACCTTTAAAAAGAAACGGTTGAGGTTTCTTCTGTTTCTGATTTTTGAAGTTCACAAAAAGTTTCAGATTTTTGAAGTCCACTAAAATATGTCTCCTTTTCAGAAACATGAGATGTGTTCAACTACGTCTTCCTTTAAGTTTTTTTTCCCCCCCAATGGTATTGAAACTGACAGGTTATCCTGCTTCAGTTTTTGGGCAGAAACTTTCTTCTGCATTCCCAACTGGCTGTCAGCCCCATCTCTCCCTCCAGTACTGTTTGGTTAACTGCATTTTCTCTCTTCTCTCTCATGTCCTTAAAACCTTTCCCAGCAGGGTGAGTGTGGGAGTTGGGGAGAGTATCTAAAGGGGCCAAGAGACTGTGTTCCTGTTTCAATATTTATAGTTTATCACCCACAATAAATTCACCCTATCTTGCAGAGGAATAGAGAGGAGAATGGACACAATCTCATTTTGCTTTTACTGAGTGTGTCAATGGAGGTAGGTGGTAGATTGTACATAATGATGCTGATGAGGTCTCCTGGTATAAAGTAAACACACACACACACACACCCTGGCTTCAAAGACCAGACCAAGCTTGTAACAGTGGATTCTATCTCTAATTAGATGGCCAAGAACATATTCCAGTCAGTCCTTGGCTCCACAAACTCAAACCAGCATCTCACTGGGGAGGGCATCATGGTATAAGCAGCACCAGCATCACCATGATAATAGGGAAACACAATTTTATCCAGCATATGTTAATTGAGCTTTAACTATGTTCTCGGCCCTGGAATACATGCTAGGAGAAGAGAGAGTGGAAAAAGAGAGAAATAATAATCAAGTTACCAAATCAGTGAACAAGAATAGGCTATGGTGAGTGATATGAAAGAAATAATCAGATCGATGTGTGAGGGCAGAGAAGGAGGGCTCTATTTTAGTTTGGATGGTCAGAGAAGGCTTCTCCAAGGAGGCAGTGTATGAGCTGGAATCCTTGCAGATTGTTGGGGAAGACAGAGGTGTGACTGGCAATGGAGATAGGTTTGGCTTGAGGAGCAGAGCAGAGTATGGGCAGTAGAGAGTAAAGTGATTGGTAAAGTGATTGGTAGTCATTGGAGGTACAGTTGGAGAGGTGGGCATGCTGGGCCTTGAGGACCCCTGGAAATTTTCAAGTGGGGGATCGACATGATCTATGATTTTAGAAAGCCAGTCTGGCTACCGTGTGGACAATGAGTGGACCAGAGAGGTTCTGTGACTTGGAAATGGAAAGGCTCCTCCCTCACCCTCCTGGCCCACATGCAAGCAATCACCACGTCTAAGAGGCTCCAGGAACACTCTGTGAAGTGTGTGGGAACATGAATCAGTGTGGTGGCAGCAGAGAGGGAGAGAAGTGCTTCGATGAGAACTTCACTTAACAACTGCTTTTTGAGCTCCTACAGTGTGTCAGTTAACATTCTAAGTATTTGTGGTACGGTGAAGAACAAAACAAAGTCTTGTCCCCCTGGAGTCTACATTTCAAAGGGGACCTAGACAGTAAACAAGTAGACAGATGTATGATCTTTTAGACAGTGTAAATGCTATGAAGATAATAAAGTGGGACGGAGATCGGGAGTGATAGGGCTGTTTGAGATAGAGTGCTACGGAAGTGGATTGGGGAGGGGAAGGGAGGAAAGAAGACAGGTTTTAGGGTGTCGTAGTGTCACTTGGCAAGAAGGAGCATAGGGAATGAATAAGTGGGAAATCAAGGGTCTGCCTTGGCCTTGTTGGTCTTCCAGGACCATCCTCTCCTGAAATTGGGGATGCGGTCTATGTTTTGTCATAGCAGTCAGCCTGTGTGAACACTTGGTGGTTTGTGTGATAGAGGCTCCCAGCTGGGGTGTCGCATACCTCTGCCCTGCCCAGGAATGAGTCCCCTAGGACCTTCCTTGTGGGGACAGAGGAGATCCTCTGGAGCTCCACTCTGCCCACCGAGCCCCGCTTCCTGGCACTTTAGCCTCAACAAGTCCAGATATGAGCTTATCACCCTCCCAACCCTCTTCTTCTGCCTGCTCACTTTCCTAAAGGCCTTGTCTCAGCTGGTGGTGCCAGCAATCACCCACTTGCCCAACACAGGAAGCTGGGACTCTTCTCACCCCCTCCCAGCCCACATCTGACCAGTCACTAAGTCCTCTTGCTGCTGTCTCTGTTACTTGTGTCCAACCTCACCACTCTCATCTGAGCACCAGCCTCCACATCTCCCTCTCTTAAAGGTCCTTCCTGCCTCTTGTCTAGCTTTTTTCCATCTGCCTTCCTTGGTGATGCCAGAGTGAGTTTTCTCAAAAGCAAACTGGACTGTATTATTTCCAGGGCTTAGAACCATGTCTCTCCCCCAGTGTTGTCTTCAGAATAAAATACAGCCCCTTAGCTTAGGATATAAGACCCATTATGACTGGCTGGTGTAAACTTTAGCTGCTTCGCTTGCATCCATGCACCCTCATTATATGCTCTGATAAGACAAAAACTACTTCTAGCAAATGGAGTACATTGTACTGCCTAATACTGTCACTCCTTTTGCATATGGAAGGCTCTCTTCTTGAATTCCCATTGAACACCTGTTAATACTTTAAAACCCAAACCAGAAATCCCCACCTCCTCTGGAAAGACTTCCTTTCCTTCATGCTACTTCTGGTCCCAGCACAAGCGTCTCCTTGCCACCCTTTGCATAGTAATATAGTGATGACTTTACTTTCCTGTCTCTTTTAAAACCAGATGAACTCTTTCAAGGCTAGTACCATGGCTTATTCTTTTTGGTATCCCCAAGCTTAGCATGGGGGCTAACCCAGAATGGTGGCTCACAAGTAAATAAATTGGATGAGTTTGGGCCCAAGACCTTCAGATGCAACCTGGAAACACTCAGCCTTCTAGAAACGTCTAACAACCAGTAATTATTGGCAACAAAGGCAGTTTAGCAGGAGTGAATCATTGTACTTTATGGGTTAATACTGAAGAGAGTATGATCTGGGAGCCATCCTGTGCTTCCTAACACTGTGTTTAGTCAGGAGCACCTCTAATTACAGCTGGGCTTCTTCCTGGGCCTAGGACACCTATAAGACTGTATTTATCAAGGCTTTGACCAGGTTATAGTAGAGTTTAATGGTAAAAGCTAGGCATCACAATTAGGCAGAATTAGGTTTTGATCTTTGATTGGTTGTGCAACTTTGGAGTGGTAATTTTACTTTTTTATGTCTTGGTGTCCTCATCTGTAAAATGAGAATAAAAAAAGGCTCCCGTTCTTTTGTAAAGATGAAATGACTTCCTGCATCTAAAGTGCTTAACATAGTACCTATCTTATGGGAGCAAAAGGATGACCTTGCTGATGACTATTAGAGAAACAAAATATTCATTCTGATATTTGAGCCTCTGAGTAAATGTCCTTTCTTCCCTTGCTAGTACACACAAGATGACTGGATTAGGGTGTCTATTTGACCTTCTTGTAAAACTTGAGTACTTTTTCCTAGCATTCATCATGAGACTATATGTGTCACATTTAGTCTGATGTCCTCATTCAGCTCAGAAGGCTCCCAGAGTGCAAGGACTCTTATCTTTAATCCTCAACTCTTAACACAATTCCTGACCCATAGAAAGCTCTCACTGGCTATTCGAATGAATGGAAAAGCCTTCCCTACTGGCATGCTGTGTTGGCATGGGGTGGGTACGTGTGTGTGTGTGTGGGGGGGGGGTGTGCTATTGGTGAGATTAGCATGGTAGGAAGCCCATGCTAATGGAGAATGGGGGCAGACTCTGGTTAGCAAGCTCTGCACCAATGAGACAAAGGACTAAGAGCACATAAGGGCAGGCCCTTCATCATAGGATTTTTCAGCCTGTCACTGCCTTAGGCTATGAGGCCAATGTGTATGATAAGAATAGTTTGCACAGTTGTACTTTGGAAATTAGGGCTCTGACAGAGAGCTTAACCAACTATCCAGCAAGAATTTTAGGAATTTAGAACCTTATGAAAATTCCACAACTGGGAATAATCCAAAAAAGAAATTTTTTTTTTACTTGCTTTGAAAAGCAGGATTAAGAAAACCCCACCCTCCTTTTCTATTCTCTGTCTACAATACAAATTATCAGACATTTCCTTGTGCACAAGCCCACAGGTGGGAAGAAGGAGGAGCTAGGAATAAACAATGTGCTTCATACGAAGTCACCTCCTGAGGGATAAGGAGGAGTAAAGTGTATAATGTGGTGGCCAGACTAGAGCAATGCAATTCAAAGTGTGGCCCACAGGGGAGTACTGACCCCTGATTGGGATTAGTTCCCAGTGGGGTAGGGAGTTTGAGGCAGAATGCACATCAACCGCCTCACTGACACACTGCTTTTAGTTCAGCTGATATTCTTTTCATAGCAAGATATGCTCCATGAAGCAACATTTCACTGTTTTACACATTGGCCCAGTTTGCCACTGTCTCAGGCTTGGACCAGTACCAAGTAGTTCACAGGCCTGGAGCATGGACTTTGAAGCCAGTCAGACTTGCTATACTACTTAAGAAAGTCCTCTAAGTTATCTGAGCTTTAGATTCCAAATCTGGAAAATAGAGATTTAGTCTTGACCAACAACATTTTGAGCACATACTAGATGCTAGGCACTGTTCTACAAGTTGAGGCTATTGCAGTGACCTTGGCTGATAGGATTCCTGCTTTCAAGGGGCCTCCAGATAAAGAAGTGAATTAGTTCCAGTTTACAATACATGCTGTTGAGAAAGTCAGCTAACTATTGTGTAACAGATTGGTTGATTGGGAATGGTTGACTTGAGAAGTTTAAGAAGGAG